CCGGGCACCCTGCCCAAGCGTGCGGGAGGACTGGCCGGCTGGGCCGAGCGGGGGGTGGGGGTGCGGGGGCCGAGGGAGCGGCTCCGGGCAGATGGCCCTGGACGGCCGCGAGACGGACTCGAGTAAGCAGTGCAGGGGGGCCGAGACGTGCAACAGCTGGGAGAGGCAGCGAGGGGGCTTTAGATCCAGTTCACAGCTTCTGTCTGTATCACAGCAGCACGGAGAGATGGAAGTTGGAGGCAGGGCACCAATGTGACCAGAATTAAAGTCATCCCAAACTGGCCAGTGTGGCCCCCAGACACAGAGAGAGGCCAGAAAACTGGCCTGAGTTTTCATTCCAAGTACCAAAGCAGGGTTTTAATCTCAAGCCACAGGACACCAAAGAGCAGACTCTTGACCGTACTGTTCCGCTGACTGAGAGGCAAAGGCTGGGAGCCCAGTGAGAAGCTTGCAGTGATGACCTGGGGAAGGCCTGAAGCGGGGCGAGACGGGGCGTGAGGAGGGGAGTGTGCACTTCATGAACACCGAGAAAATCAACTGGCTGGGCGTGGTGATGACATGGACCACCAGGTCCCTGAGGACGGCGTCTGTCGGGAGTTTGACTAACTTCTGAGGACTGTTCAACCGGAGAGGAACAGAGGGGGAGAAAAGATCTACACAACGTGCCTGCCACGTTTTGATTCGTATTTTAGAACACAAATACAGGTAAAGCATGAAACGTACCGCAGTTAAATAAATAAAAGTGTCCGCAAAACAAGCAGCTTCAGGCAGCTTCCTTATGCGACAGTTACAGAATTTAGGTTACTGCTTTAGCACCACACGCAAGTTAAGCTGTGGTAACAGAGTCAAATATCACAGCTCAGATGTGCACATCTGAAAACAATCTTCCTAACTGAGTCTGGTAGTCACTATATTTTGACACACACACAACAAAATAAAGAAAAAAACACCACGCAAGAGCACACACACGCAATGCGTGAGGTGTCCTGGAGAAATAACACCACGGGCATAACCAGCTGGAGGCCTGAGGGCCTCACCCAGCAAGAATCTTTGGCTTTAGTATCAGGAAACAAATGAACCTTACAGACCGTTTCTACTTTTCTACTAATCATTAGCGGGGCGCTGTACTGTTGTTTTTTTTCCACTTCTTACATTCATTCTTCTGTATGGATAAGGCTTACAGTTTGAAGCATCAACTAAATGCCAAACTCTTTGTCCTCCAAATTTACCTTTACTTCTTCAAACCAAATGAGGTGCACCAGTGCTTTATAATTTTTTTCATGAAGTGCGCTCTGAATATGCAGGGACCTAGGTGTTCGAGATTCATTCGAACACAAGAATTGTCTTCTGCTTTTTCATGGACAACTCAGAGGACAAATCGAGGAGTGGAACACATATTTTTGATAATTTAGACCACTCAGGCAGGAACAGGTGTTCAGGAGCGTAATTCACACAGCTGTTTCACGTCATGCACATCATGAACTAATTAACACCCCACGTGTCCTACAGGACTCACGATGTACAGGTGAGCTGACTGGTCATTTACATAATCTCGTATTTCTAGGGTAAAAAATGATTGTTCTCTCAAATTTCTAGCTGCAGGGACATACAGCCGATAATAATGTGGGTCCCTCAGTACTTTTCCCAGTGGCTGACAAAGTAGATGACAGTAATGTTTGTTGAATGAATGACAAAAGATTGGCTATTAAATAAGGAAAACTGTTGCACTGTTGTTCAGTGAATCAGTTCCTGAATTACTTCGGTTGAGATCAGAGAATTTACACACATGTCAGATGTAACAGAATGATGGTTCTTACTTTCTATCTGTGTAAATGCTAAACAATAGTTTTTTGAAGCAATGAACTATCATGTGAGCAACTAAGACATTGTTACTAAGTTATCCATATATTTAATTTCTCCTCAAATTTTTTCTCATTTCTTGAAATTATCTGCATTCATATAAAAATCAAGGAACCTACCTCAGCCCAGAATTCTGCATATATATCATTTGCAGTCAGTCGTGTTACTGGCCACAGTTTTGTCACAGAACAAAGATCACAGGCAGTCATCATCAAACCAATGACACGGTCTCTAGAACACAGTAATATAAAACTGGTCACCACAGCATTTGCACATTTATACTAACAACTAGAAAGATGTCTGTATTTTCAGGAGTGAGTGGGGCTAACAGTGGGCATTGCTTCATGATGGGGGAAAGACAGCGTTAAGCAAATACAACAAACAGGCAAGAAGAAAAGAATTAAAAAATAGTTCTGCTTTAATTGTAAGATCACCAGTCACTTCTATCACGAGCTGCATGACTAGTACAGCAAATGCTCCTGCCGCCTCAGTGCTACTGCTCAGGGTCACTGCTGGGATAAACTGTGCTGTGGGCGCGGCTGCGAGGCCGCTGGGATCTCCGGGTATATGAACCAGATTTTCACATTCATGGAATTTTGGAAATTTAGCGTGGGAAGTAACCTTGAAAAAAAATCCATCCCAATCCTGTCATTTCATATAAGGGAAATCTGAGGTGCAAAGAAACAACATGATTCCTCCCAGGTGTAAGCAGCACAAGACGAGGCCAGAGTAGGTGTAGATTTCCAGAACTCTCTCCCACCTCCCCATGGACAGAGAACAGTTGTCTCCAAACCCCGTGCAAACTCCAGCTTCCGGGTGAAAGGAGTCTTCTCTCCAGCTGCTCTGCACTCACAACGGTGTGTTGCGTGTCTGACTTTTTTCCCTATGTATGGTTTGGTTTAATCTTTCCTCTTCAGGAAAAATAAAAATCGCGTAAAGGAATTCAAACAGACATCTCCCCTCTAATTTTACTGGATTTGGTCTAATGGCACGTGATTACCCCAAATGATTACCCCAAAAAAGTCTACCCTTAAGGGTAGCACTAAGCACTAGTTATTAAGAGATTTTAACATGCTGACTTTAACATTTACAAAGCAAATCACATAATGTTAAAAGGAAAATTATCAAAAAAGATACAAAACTGTGTAGCAAGTGACAAGTTGGTAATGTTCCACCTCCTACCTGAATTTTATGAGTCTGAGGAATCCACGGCTGCTAAGGCTGCCTGACTTCCTGCAGGTGCATAAACACCCCCACCGTGGGCACAGTCTGGCTCTGGTCCTGAGCCTGTCCCACCGGGCAGGCAGAGTTTGGCAGAGTCTCTGATTTAGTGATGTCCCCCAAGCAGAGATTCCTGGATATCTGGGGGCTCCAGCTTTGTCTATTATCCATGTCTTTGAAGCCAGTCACTAGTAAGTTTCTTTTATTTCCCATCAGCCAATTTCCTTTAGCCTATTAGCCTAATTAAATATCTTCTAAAACCTTCCTTTTCATCAGGACACATATCAAAAGGGCATCATGTCTCTAACAGAGCGGGCTAGGCAACTTCAGAAATGTCAATGAGACGTACGTGACCCATCCTGTGACCCCAAAGCAGACGCCATGGGAAAGGCACAAATCCCTTAAGGCGATCAGGAAACCCCATGTCATCTTGATGAGGTAGCTTCATAAACACTTTGTGGTTTAAAGAAAGAGTACTTATTTCTCGCTTTGGGTTCTAAAGCAATGAGTGTATTTGTTTGCTCAACAGGTAAATTGATTTTAAACAGAAATAGAAGATGAAAAAAACTATTATTCTGTTTGCAAATAAGTATCTCATGAACTGGAAACAATTCAATCTCATTCAATCTACGTTCACTAAAAACAAAATCAACATTTATTTCTCTTGGCTGAATATTCTAATAAGCTTTCTCTCAAAAAAGATTTCTTAGCTCATAAATTTCTTATCTCATAAATCTATGAAAAGAAGTTAAGAGGACTGGGCACTGGAAGACAAGTGGAGCCAGTTTTCTCACTGGATGGGATTTCACAGGTAGCACTGCTTCCACCAGGGCTGAGAAGATCGTCACCTACTTATCATCTAGATCTCATCGGCAAATTACTTAGACAAAACCATTTTGCAGTACTTTACTGTTAACCAAATAAATAGAAATAAAACAAGTAAGAAAATGTGCACTAAATGCCTTTAGTAAATAAAAATTACTTGTTTTCAATCTCAGTGAGAAGTCAGTTAGGTGGTCATGGTTGTCCAGAAATCCTAACCTGGACTGGAACCGGTTTCTTTCTTTCTGTGGATGGAATACGGACCTACTTCTTATGCATTCTGATAACCAGCTCTGCTAGGGGTGGAGTTCACGCTAAGTCCGCTCTTGGTGCGATCTTGTGTGTCTCGTCACCAACAACACTGCAGTCAGAGCCCAACACGGCGCCCACGCCACAGCGATTCCTGGGCGAGTCGCTTCGGGGGGCTGACTGCATTCATTTACTCCAAGAGTCCTGCACGCCTGTACACATCAGGCACAGTTACAGTCGTGGACAAAACACACCAACGTTCCAACGGGGAGAAGCAGAAAATGCAATAGATGTTTTCACTTAACGAGTCTGTGTCGAAAAATACTTAGAAAGAGGCAAAAATATGAAGACGAGTGAGAGTTCCGGTGGAGACGACAGCGCGTGGAGAAGCCCTGACACGTAGGTAGTGTGGTGTGTTCGAGAAACAGCAGGAAAGCCAGTCTGGCAGGAAGGGAGCAATGAGGGGGGGCGTGGGGTGCTGCGAAGTCTCGAGACAAGAATGGAGTCTAACTCTTGTTCCCAGTCTGATGCTGAGGCTGTAGAAGAGTGACAGGAGCCTCGTTTTAAAGCGATCACTCAGGTCTGCTCAGGGGGGAGCTAACTGTAGAACTGTGGGCAGGGGCTGTGGAGGGAGCGCTTAGGAGAACAAGCAGTGGTCCAGCTGTGCGGAGCCAGCAGCCTGAACTGCGGTGACGGCAGTGGAGACAGAGGGTAGGATTCGAGACAGTGGAGGGAGGGCCAGGATGAAACCTGTCAGCCTCCACAGGATCCACGTCTGCATCTGCAGGAGTTACAATGGCAACACATCCCCCTCCCTGTCCTCCTCTCCCCTCTGGCTGCGCCTCACCCCCACGCATCATCCCCGACCAGGCAGCAGCTGGAAAGCAGACAGATGGGCAGACTCCCGCCCTAAAGGCGAGCGCCTCTCACCCGTGCAGGCATTTGCCTTCCCAGTGTTGTCTGATTTTAAAGTTCTCTCCCACATCAGAAGATCACAGAATCACAGAACTTTACAAAAGGAAGAGGAATGAAACCATCCACCCCGCAGGATCTCAGGTGAGGGTCTGGGGTCAAAATGAAAGTCCCTGGTCTCTCATTCCATCCTCTCTGCCTTCTCCCCCATCCGACACCACCCACTTTGTAAAGTCAATCAGCCAAGGACACGCTGTCCTACTGGAAGAGAAGCAGAAACATGCAAATGAAACTTACAAGTAACTTTATAAAAGGTCGCAGCGAGAAGAAGGATAAAGAATGAAGTCTCGCATGGTTGCTATGACAATTGCTCACTTGTGTGAATGGCTGGAATTCGAGAAGACTGGAAGGCCGGCTCAATTTCCACAGAGAGCTGGGAAGATAGGATGCCGCACCTCAAATTCTCTGCCCTCACTCCAGCCTCCCAAATCTCAACTAACGCTGGAAGTGGGAAAAAATGAAGAGCCGCAGCCAGGTGTAAAACACAGTAACGCCACCTACTTCAGTACAAGGTTCTCGCGGCCGGGGTCCCGGCACGGGACCGATGAGCCTCCCGGGAGAACCGGAGGATGGGCGCGGGGAGGCAGCAGGGAAACTGAGGAATGACAGGCAGTGAGGGCCAGTGCTGGCGGGCAGGCCCCCAGCCTGGGCCTGGAGGGGCCAGGACAGGCAGCCAGGGCTGTATGTGGGGGGAGAGCTCCCCCCAGAAGCGGTTAAACCAGCGGCCCACCGGAGGAAGCGAAGGGCGCCAACACCCCAACCTGTCTCCTCCCACCCTCTGACCTCATCACCGCCACCAGGGCTGAATCCAGCGAAGCCAAGCTGGAGGGAGGGCGGGGAGTGAGTGACTTGCCCTAGAGGGCAAGGCGGAAAATGTGGTTGTGGATCTGGGGGCCCAGCAGAGGCTGCCCAGTGTCAGTTCCAGAGGCCACTGTGTATAGTTTAAATCAAGTGCAGCCATCAGCGATTTCACGTTAGAACTTAGCTTCCCCACACGTCAAGTTCTTCTGCTGAAACATCAAACACACCTAGTAGGGTGAGGCCCTCATGCGTTTACTGCTGCCGTAAAGGCTGGTCACGGAGGGCACGCTCACAAAATGCTGCAGGAAAATGGCATTACGGTCTAAGAAAAAAGTAAGGCCCACAGACACGTGTTGTTCTCCAAAGTAAGAGCAGCAGCCGTGTGAAAGGACACACTCTTTCAGTTCTGATTCTGATTCTTCAAAGAATTGTTCAAAGTTCAGCACTGCACCCTTTCTGGTGTGCACTTAAATTAAGGAAAGATTTCAGAAGAAATGTAGCATAGGGATGTCTCTGAAGGGCACAAAGATTCCCTGAAATTAAGGGAAGAAACATTTTCATCTGTTTGTTTCCTAACGCTTTAAGGGATAAACTTCTAAAATTAGTTGATTTTTAAAATACATGTTCGAGGAAGGCAATTCCAACATGAAATAAATGGAAATAAAGATTATAAAACATACTAACAATTCACATGCTTGTCATTTTTATATTTAAAATGATACTTTAACTCGACTTCATAACTTAAAAACGCATTGGGTCTTCTGTAATGTTGGCTAAACTGGTCCTTAGGCAGGACTATTTGCTCTTCTCCATTAAGAAAGATGCTGTAATTCAAGAATCATGCTCTGACATGTGGCTGTTCTGTTTGGGTTTAGTCAAAAGGAGACAGTGACTGCTAGTTGTTTCAGTGAAACTATAAGCTGCCCTGTGCCTGCCATTGGTGTGAGTCCAGAGCTGGTTTCCAACTGTGACATTCATGTTAGTTGTGGTTAACTGCGATTTAATTGTGGTTGGGGAAGAGCTTTGAAGGGACTGTTCAGTAAAGAAATAAATCAGTTACAACTTCTGTTTCTCTCGTTGGTTCCCTCCTCATCTTTAGTGTCACCAGCAAGTCCCCCTTTTACAAGATAGATTTAAACTGGTCTAATAATTCATTTCTGGGGCCC